AAACTCAAACGCTTTCCACTCCATGTTCTCCCCATCTCCACACACAAGATCCTCAAACACCTTGATGACTTCGTCCTCCGGCCTCCAGTCCTCACCGACCTGCCACGTCACTTTTCCTTTGCCATCTCTTCCAAGGGCAGGCGCCTCGTACCTCACCCCCCATCGGAACATAACGGTCTCCTCCTCATACGAAGTTGGAGGCACGTCATCGCTCCCTTCATACTCCTTCGCCCTCTCCTTGGAGGGCCGCCACGTAAGCCACGTGAACAGCTCGGCGTCTCGAAGGGCGGGCATCTTTTGCCGTTGCAGAGACGAGGCAAACGCCAAGAGCAAAGGATTGATGCGTTCCGCGATGGGGCGCAGACGGAACATGTCGGGGTTGCGGAGGTCGTATATGTCCGGCGCGTCGCCCTGGTACTCTTCCTCCTCGTCGAACATCAACTGGTGCGTCTCGTCATCGTCGTCTTGGCCGGGCGGGTAGTGCTCCTCTCTCGTGATGGCGAACCCTGTCGCGTGGGGATCTTCCCCTCGCGGACCGGAAAAGTACCAGCTGCCGTCGGGCGCGCACGGGTGGAATTCTACCTTGAGGTGCCGCATGTGTGGCCATGATAAACCGTCGCCATCGGAAGGGAAAAGATCGGGGGTGATGAGCGCGCGAACGTCTAGTTCCTCCAGGCGACTTCCCAGGTCCCGCAGGCCAAGAGACACAGGGTCCATGCCTTCAAATTCGTTGGTCGACGACGCGCCAACAAGGTCGGGCATCTGCGCCGCTTGGTCCACCTCGTCCCCATGGGAGCTGGGCCTCCAGAACCAGAGACGGACCTTGGTGAGGGAGGACGACAACAAGGGCATGGCATGACGCACAGCCCGCGCAAACTCGGCGCGGTCATCGCGCCAAGGACCTGCCCAGACACGGGAAATGATGCGCAGTGCCTTGGATGTGAAGGCAACGGGAAGGCGCTCCCACAGCCAGGGGCAGTCAAGCTCGCGAAGTTGAGGGAGGCGGGTGATGAGTTCGAGGGGCGTGCGTAAGGAGACGGGCCGCATGTTGATTGGGTCAAAGGTGGAATCTCGGTCGGGGAGGATGCGCAGTCGAGTGGCGCGGTTGAGGAGGGGCAGGCTGTCCGGATTCTGGACGGTGAGGCGGCGATTGCGGAAGGCGCGGTGCAAGCAGTCTAGGTGGGGTTCGAAGGACTGATTGGAAACGCATAGGACGGGCCGAAGGCATTTGTCTGGGCGGCAGAAGTCCAGGTCGTCCGAGGACGCTTTGTCTGCCACGTCCTCGAGGGCGTGCAGTGCGTTGAAGAAAGCGTGAATTTGGGCTGAAAAGTGGGCGTTGACGGTCTCGAACTCGGCGGGCGACTCCCTACACGGGAGGGGCGCGCCAGGCCGGTTGAGGAGCAGCGGCATTTCCACCTTGAGTTCGCACGCACCAAAGACCATCTTGTCGCGTCCGGGCGGTAAGCGCGCATTGCAGGCACGGACATTTTCGACGAGGGATTCGAGGATGGCGTTTTTGGAGGGCGGCGTGGCTACTTGAATGTATTGGGACACCATCGTGTAGATTTTCTTGGAGTGGTACCGTCGGGATGGCTCATTGGTCTTGTGTGAGCCTGTGATTCAGGTAAAGGGAAGAATCTAGGAAAGAGGTGAGATCAAGCTTTGTTGAAGCGTGCTTCAACTATGAGAGGAGGTGGTGCTTTTGCTCATAATTCAGTTTCTAGAGTTGTGTTATCTGGTGAACCCGAACAATGGTAGAGAGATCAATAAGCTTCCGGATCGGACGTGCTGATTCGAACTGCGTGGCTGTCTGGTTAATTGGCAGTGATTGAGGGCTGAGATACAGAGAATGTCATTCGGGTGGTATGCGGGTGTCGTTGTTGTTGTCGTTGTCGTAGTCCCAGGTGCGCGTATCCTTGCAAAGTCGATCGCCTTGCCCCTGACTCCCTTTCCTTTATCTATCATCGGTACTCGAGATAACATGCTGACATAACGGAAAAGGTACACTTTGTCATCTGATCCTCTCGCTCGCCAAGTAGTTTTGTCGCTGGTTCCAACTTCTTTCCAGGCACCTCCTAACGACGAGAGAGGGCGGTATTAATCATATGACTCCCTGGGAAATCGTAGAGAGGCCAAGGTCCGGGCTGTAGAGCCTTGGCTGTTTCTTTCCCTTTCTAGTCCGGATGAATAACGGGTATACCGTGGATATAGGAGAGACGGACAAAACGATAAACTGCTCCGAAAGGAAAGTAGATGTTTGGGGTGTTGCGAGAGAGAAAACCTCGCCATTTGCAAAAGCGAGCAGGTCTTAGCCTGGAGTTCCTGGATTAAGCATTAGTATTGGATAACTGAGAAGGAGGTGGGAGGCGATGGTAAATATAGCTTCAGGACATTTCATCACATGCTTCACATGTTGGCTGCCTCCGCCGATCTTGGGGTGCCGCGGAGTGTGGTGCCCTTTGCAGCGAGGTGCATGGTTAGCTGCATGAAGATGGATGGCACACTTGCTTCCATGTGATTTCGTAGTTGCAGATGACTTTGGCGCGTTAATGTCCGTTCCAGTTTCCCGATGGTTGCGAAGTTTCAATGTCTCCTCCTGAGCGTCCGCTGATGAACATGCTCTGGGGGGTAAACCGGCGTATCATGGACGGCAGCACCCCGGTCACAAGTTGCTCACCTCACTTGAAGTTGGCTGGAGTTGACGAAGAGGTGAGTTGAAAAAGGAGTGGTGTGGAGAGATGTTTAAGTATTGATATCAGTGTCGCATCCGGGAGCGAAAGTGGGAAGCTCGGGACCGAGATATCATGCTGAACAGGACCAAAGTGTCCATCTCCCCAGCACTCCAAGATTTGCAAACAGCTAGGTTTCATCACCCTGCCTTTTTGAACTGCTGGACGTGGAGGTGGACATGCACTCAGTGGCGAGAAAGAACCAAGGCGGGATATGCTGTACGTGATATCTCGGCGAGGTGAAGGGAAATGAAAGGGAGGGGCCTCATGCTGAGTTGCTATTGCTGCGTACCGGCCTGAAAGAGGAATTGGAAGCGAATCAAACGGGCAGATGGTTTTGAGGACAAAGCAAGCGAATAAGAGAGAGTCAATGCCACGGCTCAGCAAGGCTTGGAAGGGCCAGCGCGGCAAACCTTGATGACCGAGCGGCACCTGGAACAAGACTGAGCGCCTTTCGTTAGAATGAGTTGTTTATCTGTAGAGTGGGACAAATTCCGGCTGAGTCTCTAAATGTCTCTGGAGGTACGGATTTGGATGGAGGGTATCAATGGCGTTTGTCCGCGTGCGACTGAGTGCACTAACAGCACAGTACCGGATGCGAGAGGAATATAGATTCATATCTGCTAGCGACTGATAGAGTGCCGATGTGGTCGTTCAACAGAAGGCAACCAGTCCAGTCGTAGATGTTCAAGATGCATGGCATCGAGTGATTCCAAAGACTTGAGTGGAAGCCATGGGAAGGGCGATCGATGAGATATTGTATCTGAGTGATGTTGTTGGGTGGAAGCATGCAGTGGAGATCCAGTTGGGAGTTTGGAGTCAGCAAGTGTGGACAGCGCTGTACGTAAAACCAAGTCTTTTGCGCAAATGACTAGCGGCTTCACTTGACTATTTTGTAGTCCTCGGAAGTAAACGCCAAGGATGGAGTCGGCGATGGGCTTGAAGAATCTTCTTGGCACGCTAAACCTTCTGGAAGAACAAGCACGTCACCAAGTCAGGGCACCGAACAAGGCCAGACCCAGTTTGTCACCGTCTCCACGAGCAACAACGTCCAATTGATCAATCAAGTTGCGATAAGATCAGGGGTCGTTTCCAGCTTGCCAAACCAAAAAAGAAGAGCAATCGCGAATCGCAAAACCGATTGATCGAAAAGGGGGCTGGTCGTCGCATCTTTTTCTTCTTTATAAACACATCCATCTTTCAGTCCGAGTCGGCGCATTCTTCCAATCGTCATTCTATCCCAAAACCTCCGACCCAGATCCGTCCAGCCGAAACCATGCGCCCGTCCACCATCATCCTCGCCGCCTTCGGCCTCACAGGGTCCGCCCTCGCCCACGGCGACCACAGCAGCGGGTCGCAAAAGCCCATTGTCGGCGACAACGCCTCATGGATGGTTAAGCACATGGCTGGTATGTTTCCCGCACGCAGCCCATGTCTCACAGCGCGACCGCCACTAACATCGCCCTTGCTTCCTTCCAGAGGAACACCACGTCGAAAACTTTGACGCCGCCTCCTTCTTCGCTCTGCACGACTTCGATGCCGACGGCACATGGGAAGGACTCGAGATTCTCCGCACATATGGCCTGATGGACGATTCCAACAAGGGCGTTTCCCAGCCCAGGAGAGACGAGATAGTCCGCGACATCCTTGGTTTGATCGACTACGACCGCAACGGCGTCATCACCAAGGACGAGTTCGTGCGCTTCATCAACGTCGAGGGCAAGACGCTTCCAGATATGGGTACGGGGCCGGGTCACCACGGCGATGCTGAGTACGAATACGAGATTCATCACTGGGAAAAGTGAGTTTATCCTTTCCCTGGCCCCCCAAACGGGGGCGGCGCAAAAGCCCGCCATCCTTTTGCCAAGGCATGATGGCAGAGACTAACGATCGCTTGCTGCAGGTACCACGATGACAACACCAAGCTCGAGGACCTTACCCACCCCGAAGACATTGAACATTTCAAGAAGCACGAGGAGATGGAACTCGAAGAGGAGCGGTTAGCCCAGATGGACAAGATCGCCATCATCGAGGAAAACATCCCCGCCAAGTTCAGGAGGAGTGGGTAAGGAGAGCGCCTTTCCCAAGCTGCTCGATCTTCGTACACGATTTGATTGATTTTTTTTTCTTTTCTTTCCCCGGCGCATATGGAGAGGTCCACGACTGGATATTTAGACACGGATGGATGCTTGTTTGGAAACGGATCTATGTATAAACTGATGAATACCAACCCGCGCGCATTGGCGAAAGGGTTACGACGAGACCAGACCGTCATGTTGGACGACGACTACCACTACCACCACTACTACTACCTGTACCAGAACACCTTTTAATGTATACATCAAAGACACAATGCCACACATCTGGCGCAAACGTCTTGACGAGCTCTACATGCTCCACCACCGCCTTTGTCTCTGTTGTTGTCCCATCACTGCTATCCAGCTCTTCGTTCCAACGAGTCATCAGTTCCTGAATCTCCCCCCTCCGCGACTCGATATCTTTCACATGAACATTCTCATGTAAATGCAACCATCCATCCCCTACCCCTTTCCCCACCACCGCCTGCCACGAATCCCTCCAGCTCTTCTCACTCGTAGGCAAAAACCCTCCATTGACATGAACCACATCCAACTCCCTTCCTCCCTCTTCCCTCAGCTCCCTTACTCTCCGGCCTGCACTTTCGTTCCCTTCCAGAAACACCACAATCTGTACCCCCTCGGCATCTGCCTCCTGTAGCAGCTCCGTCGTGGTCTTCTTTTTTAGGTCTTCTTCCCCCTGAAACACTTTAACACTCCACTTATTCGCCACCGCGCCCCTCCGCAGCCCCTCCACGCTCCACGGGTTGATCTCCCAGCAGAGCACGCGCATCCCCAGCTTGGCGTACGAAAAGACAAAGTAGCCTATGCCTGCGTACAAATCTAGAGCGTATTTGCCCTTCAAGTCCCCTGATGCTTTTCGTCGATGACTCAGGCTTTGTTGTTGTTGCTGTCGTGGTGCTGCTCCGTTGCTGGTGGGCGCTGCGCCAATGGGAGTTTGAGACCGGTGGAAATCCAACAATCTAGCCTTCTCCTTCACGTTCCCCCGCGAAAACATGGTATACCGCGGCGCCCAAATCTGCGTGATCCCATTCTGCTTGGTCGACACCCAGAATGCTTGGTCGAAATCTTGCGGCGTTGGTGCGGTGGATGGTGATAAGGCGGGACCAAAGTCGCCGTGGAGTAACTTGAGGCCGCTGGGAGATCGCAACAAGTTCTCTTCTTCCTCTTCTCTTGCATTCTTTTCAGCGCCGTCGGCAATATGCAAAGGGATCCCTTCATTAACAGCCAACCTGCTCAATTCCACCTTTGACGCTCCATCTCTGGTGATGTTTGACAAGATGCGGGTCCACAAACTGGATTTGACGTTGGAAGAAAGAGAGTCAAGGAGCTGAGGCCAGAGATTGGAGGTGAAACTACCGCTGGGGAGAAGGACCATGGGTTCGTAGATTACCCACCGCTTGGGCACTTTGTCGAGGAGGAGGGCTTTGAGTTGGCCTTCATCCTGAATGTTGTCAAGTGTTGAGAGTAGTGTAGTAAGGGAAATGGATTGGGTGTGGTCTTGAAGCCATGAGTTGACAGCGGCCGTGATGGGGTTTTCCTTCTTTTGTTTGGGTGGTTTGGGTCCTCTCGGTTTCCTCTGATGTTCGTCTTTCAACACGGCGGTTGGGATTTGTTCTGACATGTTGCTGTACTTGTTGGATGTGCTTGGTGATTGGTCGGGATCTGGTGGACCGGTGACACTTTGTGAAGTGAGACGACGTACAAATAAAATTTGTGACTGGAACCAGGCTAAAAACGTCGAATATCCGGGAGCCGGAGTCCGGGAGTCTGGCGAGTTGGGGAACGGCCCGCCGGTGATGCAGGTACAATGCGACGGAAGATCGGCGGCGGGGATGTTGGCGTACAGATGAAAAGTCGAACATTCCGCTTTGACCCTAACCCTATGGAAAATGGGAACGAACCTCGATCTCGTGAATGCCAACAATTTAGTCGAGATCATGTTGAGAATGTGGCCATCAGCTTCGCGGCCCGGATTGCAATACCATCATTGCGAACTCCTTTTCAATTTGCTAGATTAGTAGCATCATTCCCAAGTCCGCAACTCGATGTGGAATGTGTGCATCATATTGAGACTACTGATACCATACTAACAAAGTTGCGCCTCTAAAAGCTGTACTGCTGATAGTATCACATCTAATTCCCGACTCGATGGTTAAAGCCAAACGATGTCCCATCTTTTTCAAGCCAAACAGCGGCCTTTGGTTCACAGCGGAGAAAAAGGTATCGAATGCTCATTGCGTCAATGAACCACTTATGAAGATGTAGAAAAGTCCCGTCTTGAGGGATCTCAGTCCTCGGAAGAGCGACAGGCGACCGAGCCCAGTGGCGCAACAAAGTGATACCCGCTGCCATGCATCAGTTAATCTTGAAAGAGACATGCCCTACCGTATAAACTCGTGGCGTTGATTTTCAACTTCCTGGGAAATCAGGCATAATCTGTAAGCATGCTGCCCTACGATGTGCATTTTATGCCCACCAAATTAGGTGGAGGAGACATGTTGCCACCCCGGAGCACTGTAAACTCGATTCTTCAATTTCCTGCCTTTTCATACCTATCTGTTCAAGGGCGCTGGAGGAGGAGACATTCAAAAACACCGTCTTGCATAGAATCTTTGGTGGACATGAATGTTGCAGTATACTTACTGCTCAGGCCTGATTTCCCAGGAAGTTGAAAATCAACGCCCCGAGTCTATACGGTATGCATATGGTGTTGAAAACAAGGACACAAACGCAACCACCCCAGTACTTAAACCCCAAAGCCCCGTCCCAAATCCAATGTTTTCTCCCTCCTGTCTTTGTCCATCCACATCCACCACAAGCACAAGCAAACGTTTCCCTTCCATCCCACCACCTCCCCATCCTCGTTTATCCCACCCCATCACACCCATCTCCATCCCTCATCCACCCCGTGCATTGAATTTTCTTCCTCATGTTCCCACCCAAAGGCAGAGAAGCACAACGAGAAAAGAGTGAAATGTCACAGTCAGGTAAAACCTGAAGGTTTGTTTCCAAAAATTGTGCCCGGACTTCTTTACCCAGGGAGTTGGCCCTGGGGTGTCTACGCGAAGTGCAAGCAACCTTGTGGCTGCCTACTGTGAGAGATTCTTGAGCCTCCCACAGTCGGGCGGTACTTCTTGAAGAAAAGAAGAAGAAAGTATGGGAAATATGATGGGGGATCGGGAGATTAAATAGATTAAAGAGCCGGTCTGTGCACGAGTGCAAGTTTGGAAAACTTGAGCGGGTCGAACTGACAGTTTGACTGACGGGGAAGGTGTTGACGATGATTTTGGCTCCGACGGTGGTTTTTGGGGTTGGTGCGGGTGACGGGAGAGAGTCGGAGAGAGAAGTCACGGTCGGCGAGTGGATGTCGTGATCCTACAAGCTTACTACGTATGGGGCGTCATGCGTCGACTACCTCGAGCCAGGTCCGTGCCTGAATGCGAAGGAACAAGTTGACTACCAAAACTCGAAGGCAAGTTTGATGAGACTTCCCCCACCACATTCAGGCCCTTCTTTCCTCCCATGGCAGTTCTTCATTTCGGCACACCGGCAAGCCTCATCACCTTCCGTCCAACACCCCTCAGCGGTTCCGAAAACAACTTACAGCGCCCATCTCTAACATGGACTTTACAAAGACACCAGGTAATCATGGTCAGGTCTCAGAGCCGTGGATTCCTGACCTCAGGAGAATTTCCTGCCTCACGTCCCAAGTCCAACCCGGTTTACGCAGACATCACAGCTAAGTACAACCCATTTTCTTCCTCATGTCCCCACCCTCAGGCAGAGAAGCATAACGAAAAAAAAGCAGTAATCAGGAAAAGTCCCGAAAGGGTGTCTCCAAAAATTGTGTCCGGACCTACTCCCCCAGCGAATTGGCACTGGGGTGGTCATGAGCAGTTCAGGCAACCTGAAGCAGGCTGCCTACCGCGAGAGATTCATGAGCTTCTCGCGGTCGGACTAAATGCTATGAAGAAAAGAAGAGGAGAATGTTTGCAAAATTGAGGGGAACTGGAGGTTATATAGGCAGACGAGGTGGCCTGTGCACGAGTGAAAGTCGGTGTGTTGGAGTGGGCTGAGGAGAGAGTGGGTTGGTTCAGTTGGAAGGTGTAATGTTGATGACGAGGAGTGATCCAATGCGAGAAGGTGGGCGGAATGACGGTTGAACTGAAGCGAGCAGTTCCGGTGTTGATGTCGGAAAGGGCAACGGACGAGGTGATGCAGGGAAAGCGGGAGAGCAGATGATTACGAAACAGGAAGGCAGAGGATGCTTATCAAGGCGAAGGTAAGGGTTTGACTTGTGGTGGAAGGCGAAGATGTTGGAATATTTTGGGTCATCACTGATGGCAAGAAAGGTCATTGGGAAGGAATATGCTAACTTTTGGTGCAGGCACTACAGCTGACAACACATCTAATTGTCGATGCTTGAACGGAAACTCCCAAGCTCAGATGATCAAATGCCGGAACCGAATCAACAGGCGGCGTGCACTTTCCTCGACACAGGAAACAGGTACGTTCGAGGTCCGAAGTTGATCGTCTGATGAAGACATTTCTAACAATACATATAGGGCAAGTACGAGCAACGACCCCCCTAGGGAAAGAGATGACAAGCAAAAAAAACATCCAACAAACAGACCGAGCCTACTTCCCTTCGGTCTTCACACATTCCAGACCCCTTGCACAGTTACCAAACTCTTAGGAAGCCGATTCGGCAACAGCCACACCAAATACCTGCCGATCAAGGATGACGTCCCACCACGCCAGATTTTACCATTCTTTCCAATTTCCAAATTCGGACGATAGATCTAGCAACCACCTGGGCACTGAGAAATTCATAGATCCCGGCTGCGCCAGCCTCTTTCTCAACCACAGATCCAATCAAAGGCCTGCCGATAGTACGAACCTTCCGACAAGACAAGATCGTTGGCCTTGGCGTGGATGAGCGTATGTGTCTAGTCTACAGCACCGATCACGACAGTGATGACACGCAACTCCGAGCGAGTGAAGTTTGGCGCGGAGGGTAGCCACCACTGCATACTGTTCATGGCCGCCTTCGTCCCAACCGATGATGAGAGATCAGCTTCTATGCACCCCGTTTACTCAAATTATCTACATAAACCGTCAGTTCGGTTAGGTTTTCCAGAGGCGATGAGCGAACAGCTTTCGACACCCCATCTACTCAAATTATCCAAATTTTCACCTTGACAAATTCGCGATATCATGACCGTGATCCTGCAGTCCATATCATTCCACGATGAGCATTTCGAGCCAACAATACAGAGTGAATACTGAGCCACTTTGTAATGCCTTGTGGGTTCCTCGGTAAACTCGTGTTTCCCCGTGAGCGACGGCCCATCCCCTCCCGACCATACACAACGCTCGAGCCATCTGTTGAGTGTTGATAGGTTATCAATCTGTCCAACAAAAGACTTGCATATAGGAGGCATCAAAGCTGCCTCAAGTCGCTTTTAACCTTCTGGACCCACCTCTCGATTCTTGCTTTATGTATTTCGTACAGTCCGACATGCACTCCTTCGCCTTCTTACCACGTCACCTGCATGACGATATCATTCTCTTATTGGTTGATGGCAGTTAGCATGATCGGTACAAAACGGGTCAGTTGTTAGGGCTTGTTGGATCGTCGATGCCCCCTGTGTCAAAGGACGTGAGCGCTACGGCTCCCTATAGTTCAACATGTTGGGTCGGCCACGAGCGCACGAGCGCTGCATTTGATCATGTACACAATTTCAGTGTGGGGCAAATTTGCTATGAACTTGGGAGATTGCTAATATTTGACTAGAAGACTCCTTTTTACCCTTTCTTCTACATCCATCTGCCTGGCCTCTTGTCTTCACCGGTCCGCATCCGCCGAACCTTACCATCGCCTGCTCCGTCGTCCATGTGGTAGACTCTACCTACCGAAATCACCCTAGTGGCCGCATCAACGATTCTATCCTCACTCCTCCTCCCGAGCCGGCGCCACCATATGTGCCGGAAGTTTTCCGGTCATTCGCGGTCAGCTTCTTTACCGCCTTGTCTACTTCCTCTTCAACGTCCGAGATAGTTCCTGTGAAGGTCCCAAGGTATTCTCCCCATGGCACCATGAAAGCGGTGGTGCTCTCTCCGTTATTGATGAATGGGTGGTATACTAGAGGAAAAAGATGCTTGTCAGTACTGGGGTGCTGTAGTGTACTTTTTGTTGCATTTGGGATGGGGGAATGTTGATGCGATGCTAAGCCAGGGAGGTACATTGGGTTGGCTCCTTGGTAGGGGTGGGCTTGGGTAGAGAGTAGGTACCGAGGAGGAAGACACTCGGCCAAATCCTTTTTTGATATTCTTAAGATACCTTAGATTGGAGTCCAGATCAGACCTATATATAGTATGTTTTGATTACAGAGCAGTAATGGGATTTTGAAATGGAGATTCCTGGACTGGGGTTGAGTGTCCCCAACCCTTCTACCCACCATCTACCCCCACGCCCCCCCAGCTTGCGCGCGCCAAGACCCATTCGCCCCCTGTAGCCCCTTCCCCTTCCAACGTTGAAAGCAACCTTCATTCACATCTTCACATTTTCACAATATTCCACTAGCACACGCACATCATATCACCACAACTCCCCTTCGTTCTGGGAACCAGAAACTCACCTTTCAGAACATCCCCCAACATCCTCTCGCACAACCTCACCACCTCTCCCTCCCACGCCAACCCGGGGTGTTTTTCCACCGTTTTCCATACAATCCTCACCCTCTTCCTGCGCTCTTCCAGCTGCTGCTTCGGTACCCGTACCGGATCCCCACCGAATCTCCTCTCCAGAAACCGGAGATCTTGGTATAAGCTTTCAATCACCCGACAAACGCTTGACAAAAGACCAAGCAGGGCGCCTTGCTGCCGCGCTGTGTCGGTTGCTGTTGGTCTGGATGTCCCTGAGGGAGCGCGGAAGGGAGGCAGGAGGGGGAGAGGGGAGGATGGCGGAGGATTGAGAGTGGGGGAGTCGGGGCGGCCTGGGGAAGACATTGTTAGTGACTGGAGGGAGAAAAAAAAAAGGAGAAAATATGGTAACAACAGAAGGGTACTAAAAAGTGAGGGCGGTGCTGGAGGTTTTGAGATGGCGATCGAAAGGCTCGGCCCATCAGGAACACCTTTTATACCTTTGAAAATCTAACCACCGGCGAATTGATTGCAATAACCATGTTTGGCTTTATCAGTCATTGTATCGTGGTGAGAGACTAAGAGTCATCCGCCGAGACAAACTTAAGTGCTGAGTACGTCGAGCGACCAAACTGACATAACATGTGAGATCAGATAGGCAAGGAGAAGAGAAGCCGTGACTGTTCTAGCGCAACACAAAAACAGTCATCTTCTTCGCGCAGTAAGAATACTGATGGACAATGGCTCCTATAATCGAGCACAAGCGTGCGCAGCGACATCGTTTTGACTGGTGTATTCGAAAAACGCATCTTTTCAATGCCACCACGCATCGCGCCCACCTGAATTTCAGAGAATCATCCAGGGTCAATACCTAAGATGAACAACCAGCCGTGACCGACCAGCCCCAATTTGCATACATACAGCATAGATTACAACCGAAACCCACCCACCCCAACTCCCATCAAGCTCACGCACTCCCCTTACTCGCAACTCCTCCCCATCCCTTCATTCATTCATCCGTTCCCAACTCCCCTAACCCACCGATACCCCCCTACCTACCTACTTATTGTAGGTACCGCCGTACCACCGTACCCCTTTCAGCCTCAACCCATCCCTGTCCATTCACTACCTATGCTCGTCCGAAACAAAACAGATGAGACCAGCCAACAGGTTATGTAAACCAGTCCGCTACCGCTCGTCAAATTCTTTTAATATTCTTTTATTTTATTTTTTTTATACCTCCTTCCCGCGTTATGTTCGTGGTAGTTTACTTTTTTTCGTCTAGGTCTGTTCTTTTTTCATGTGAGCGAATAGTCGAACCTCTTGCTTTGAGTGATGCAATAAAGGCTAATAATACAGGGAAATGGGGGCCAGGTTGCAAGGCCCGCCAGGGCGCAGCTAAAGTCAGTGAGGGAAGACGGTTGAGCACCACCCAGATAGGGGGGGGAAGGTGGCGGAAGTGGATAGAGAGATGTGAAAGATTGAAAGCTTGAACGAAAGATTGGGTTCATGCCGACGGAAATAAGAGGCCTTGGTAATGTGGTTCAGTTTCATGGCACTTCCCTTACTTGATATCTTCACCTCTCTATGTATCATACATGGCCAAAGCACGCCTGAACAACACTGGTATTTTGGCATCCCCGTCTAACTCGGTACGCCGTCTTTCTCACTCCCCAATTTATCTAGTGGCAATCATGGTTCATCCAAGAATCATCGTGGCATACCCAGATGCACAAAGGCACATCAACCATATCCACATACTTTACATCTTTACAATGATAAACTGTCTTTTGCAATCTCTCTCTATAAAATGTAATGTGTAGACCCAAGCCAAAAAGATAACTTATCCCAAAAGAAAAACCACACGCGTACACACGCGGTAAACGTAATAAATGACCTCTTGATTTTTGCTGCCCCCCCGCTCCTATCCGCAAACGTTCCACCGCTCAAAGACAGCCTAAGCAGAATCCAGCGCCTTCAACTCCTCCTCTACTTGTTCCCTGATCACCTCCCTCACTGCTGTCCAGTCATTGGCCACATCCTGGACGCGCTTCTCCTTCTGGTCCAGACCGACAAACTCCTGCGGTAGCACCTTGGCCTCAAAGTCGAACTCGGGCTGGTCCTGAAGCGCAAGGTTGACGGCGCCAGAGAACTTGGCGGGGTGGGCTGTCGATAGGGAAATATGGGGGATGTCGGCACCGGCGCGCTTGACCGATCTCCTGGCGGCCTCGACACCGACGGCGGTGTGGGGGTCCAGTACGTAGCCGACCTCCTGGTACAGGCTCTTGATGGTGTCGAGGGTCTCCTGGTCGGTGACACGCTCGCTCTCAAAGTTGCGGCGCGCGCTCTCAAGGACGTCCTTGTAGACGGGGCCGAAGCCGTCCTTCACCTTGAGATCCTTCAGCCAGGAGCTGACCTCCTGACCGGCCTGCTTCTTGTTCCACTCGTCATCCATACCGGCGCTGGAGGCGAACTCGTAGGCGAGATACCACAACAGGCGCTCAAAGTTGCTCGATACCAGGACGTCCATGGCAGGGCTCATGGTCTCCTTGACTCCATCCTCGTGCGCCTTGGCGCCGTCTTCGGGAAGACCGCCCTCAGCCTTGGGGCCGCTGACGGGCTTCTTGGTGTAGCAGCCAGTCTTCCAGAAGCGGTCAAGACTGTCGTTCTCGTTGGTGGCGATGACAAGCTTGTCGACGGGGAGACCCATGCGGAAAGCGAAGTAGCCGGCGAGGATGTCGCCAAAGTTGCCCGAGGGAACGACGAAGCGCACCTTGTCGCCAATGTTGAAGGACTCGGACTGGCGGGCCAGGGAGAAGTAGGAGTAGAAGTAGTACACGGTCTGGGCAAGGATACGGGCCCAGTTGATGGAGTTGACGGCGCCGAGCTTGTGGGTAGCGTTGATCTCGGGGTCGGCGAAGAGGGACTTGAGGATGTCCTACAAGGGGTCAGATAATGTAACGAAGGGCGTGGTGAGGCGGACTTACCTGGCAGTGGTCGAAGTTGCCGGTGATGGCGAGGTTGTGAACGTTGGCATCGAGCACAGTGGTCATCTGAAGCTCCTGGATGGGGCTCACACGGCCCTTGGGGTGAAGCATGAAAACGGAGACATCCTTCTTGCCGCGCAGACCGTAGATGGCGGCGGAGCCAGTGTCACCGCTCGTCGCGCCAACAACAGTCAGGTGGTACCTGTCCCTTCCCTCCTTGCCCTGGTTCTTGCGCACGAGGAAGTACTCGAAGAGGTTGCCGAGGAACTGAAGGGCAACATCCTTGAAGGCAAAAGTCGGGCCGTGGAAGAGCTCAAGAAGATGTATGCTGTCCTGGAGGTGGACAAGGGGAGTAACCTCGGGGGTGCGGAAGGAGGCGTAGGAGCGGTTGATGATGTCTTTAAGGTCTTTTGCGGGGATCTCTGAGGGGGAAACGTAGAGGGAGATGATGTTGTAGGCGAGGTCGGTATAGGAGAGGTCCTTCCAGCTCTGCCATACGGACTCGGGCACGACAGGCACCTCTTGGGGGATGTAGAGACCGCCGTCGGCGGCGAGACCCTTGAGGACGACGTATTCGAAAGAGTGCTAAGGCCAAGTCAGCAGCTGGCGACCACATGCGCGGCGATCCAGAGAAAGAAACATACACCGCCGTCCTCACCGCGAGTGCTCAGATAGCGTTGGCAAGGGGTGTGAGTCTGGTCCTGGGACTCAGTGCCGTTGGTCGCGACGCCGTTGGACATGGTGGGCAATTTGCTGGCGGTGTTGGGAGGGTGGTTTCGCAGTCGGACCTCGCTCGGGTTCTAATTGCTGGGTTTAGGTTTGGGTTTGGGAACTAGTTTGTCGAGGAAATGGAGGAATGGGGCGGGGGGAAGTGGAAGCTGAAATTGTTGACAGCGGCCCCAGTTTCAGAGTCTTCTTTTGAGTGGCAGTCTCGACGATCGGCTTGTGGGCAGTCAAGAAATGAATGACTCCCGCCGAGCATCGGCCGCCGGGCCCGCCCTTTAAGGCGTGGTGTGGCGTATGGCAATATGGCAGCAATTGGCGGGCAATTGCCTGTCAATCAGCCCATCCATTGTAAACACCTAGCAAATGCGTGGGCAAGCAACCAAGCACGGACTGGATGGAGGCGGGGCCGCTGAAAATTTTGCCCCGCATCCGTATCGGTTCCTTGGCTCATCCCTAAGCCATCCCATCCCGGCCGTCATGAGACGAATTTGCAACTGCCCGCCGCCCCTGAGCCCCCTGTTGAGCCCATCTTATGGTATGTAGGAGTGCTCAGAGGGCACCTCGGCCGCTAGGTAGAGGTAGGTAGGTCGGCGTCTCGGCGGGGCGGGGCAGCCGAATGAGAGACAGCATCATGCCGAATATGAACATGGACCATGCAAAATGCATTTAGTGTCCGCAGATGGGGGTTTGAATTAGGTACCTATCAAAGGGCGCTTGCCTACTGAGATAAAGAAAGAAGACTACCTACATAGTGATAATTCCAACGTCCGAAAATCCCATCGTTAGCTCCATCATGGAAAGATACAAGACGGGAATGACGCAGCAATACACAAAAACTTGGGCTTTGCTACTTTATTGTTTAACAGGCCCTTGGACATCATCACCAAATAGTTCCACCAGAGAAGGCCATGTTTGCGGCGCGTGATGTCCGCCTCGTCTGCATTGGTACCAATTGGGACGCTCGGTTGGCGGATAGATATCTTGTTTGGGCTTGGTGAGGAGCCAGGCATCCCGGACGAGTTTAAAATGATCAGCACCAGGCTTCATTTCCATGTCCCGGTGGTGTCCCGGCGGAAATGTAATGAATGTGACGTGTGCGGCTGGTCTGCATATGCCGCCGCATCTTGTTGAGTTGAAGTTGGGTTGGGCCGAGAATGTCGGCGCCAGAATGATTTTTGCTGTTCGTCTTGCCCGACTAGCCCGACCAGCAGATGGTTACCTGTAGTAGCTTGGTATCCGTCCAAATCAACAACGGGCGTGGTGTTTTGAGACTATAACAACAGCTAAAGGTTGCGAGTCATGAGCGCGAGATCCTCATTGTCATATCCACACATGAGGCGAGAACAAAGTTATGTTTATCGGTTGGGGATATTGCGTCGATATTGACCTTGTACCGTAAACCCTGTAATGCCACTTAAAGATGTCTATAGTGTACTACATAGTTGAGGTGATTGGAAAGAGAAGATTGGAGAATGCCATGGGTAGTCAATGTCCAGAATATTGTTGACGATTGGGATGTTTTACGTAGTGTAGCTTATCGACAACTAAAACTCATCGATCGACACGTGGGATCGGGCACCCATAAAGGGTCCGGACCCCCCGTCGTGGGCCAAAGCGGGGAACGTGGAACTTTCCGTAGCATTAGACGCGTGCTGCCGTGTGACCCAGGGTGGACCCGTGACTGTTTTTGTGGCTTTGTGTTCAGAAGGATGGGAAAAAGAAGACAGGACCTTGATGAAGACTGAAGAGATATCAGATGGCGCAATTGCTTGGGAGTGTTCGTCTTGAATAACGAGTATGGTGAAGAGTTGGGAAAACTCAGGTTGGCGCGGGATGATGTTCCCTTGACTGACCTAGGTACCTAGGTTCCGTCCCGGGCCTTATCTTATCAAGAGTCACACTGCGGGCAGGCACCCGGAGCATTTAGTCCAAAAAGAGTGACACCTAGCGCCAACTTTGTCTGGGTATGCTGGCCTTTTTTGGGCATTGGACTTTTTGACCGACTCGGGCCTGTCCAAATGCTGTACCGCTTGGCAGCATGCTGCTGTCTGCCGAAGCTCCTTCCGATTCGAGTCTTTGGAGCATGTCCATGAAAGCGATCGCGATCACCTCAGCATTGGACGACATGATGGTCTGCAATGACTCCCCACTGGCTCCCTCGACATGCAGGTGGTCGTCTAATCCTCCAGCGACGTTGGATTCCTACTGGTCCATCTCGACGTTGTGCCTGTGACATGGTCACCAAGGCGCATGCCTGCAACAACCAGATACAAAGGAGCCGCCCGAGCATGCCATTGGACGGCGCGGCGCGGGGTTCTGCACCTGGCCCACCACTGAAGTGAGTGCCATTCCAACATGAGCTTTTGCATTTCATCATCAGCCCAGCATGAGAATTCCCATTGCACACACCGCACGACATGCAAGTCACCTAGTCATCAACATTGAGCGAAACAAATCAAATCAACAACAATATCACGTGGGGACCAAGGCAATTCACGCCTTGCCCATCTAGTCCCTGCTCGCTACCACGCTCCCTGGGATACCCTGGCGACGCCCCATTCCGCTGCTCAATAAAGCAACCTTTCCCCAATGTCTGCCCCTTCGTGACGAGGACCCTTCCAGACTGTTGGGTGCGGAACAGGGCAGTGTGGGCGAAGTGGGCTCCGGGGAAAGCTTCCACTTTCAGCATCTTTTTTTTGGAGTAAACTTGATCATCTCCAACATCATCGCCATCAGCATCACCATCGTCATCATCCATTTCCATGAGAGCCCAAGGGCGGGAATGTGTTCAAACCATCCTCCATCCCGACACCCCACAATCACCTCACCACACACTCAGCCAGCACCTCAGTTTGGGTGTGAGCAACACGGATACACGACAGGACGAGGTGGTGACTTTTTAACGCTCTCGTCCCACCCCTCGGAAGACACCGGTCTCGAAGCAGTTAGCCTCATTAATAGCACACCACATTTCTCCATTCATGCCGTCTCGAGCTCAGCAAAGCGACATCTTATTCCCCCTTCCTCTCATCTCCCATCTTGAGCCTGGTATTTACACCATTCCCCTTTCTTTGTCTCGACGTCTCGGAGTGAACATCCACGCCATTGCCCTGATCTTATCTGCCCTGTCTCAGCGCGAGCTGCCCTCCCTCACCAAGGCTGTTATATAACAAGCAGGGATCTGCGATAAGCCTGTCACTCCGCGGCCTCGACCATCCCTCCTCCCTGCTCTGCCAGCCCAGCCCCGTCTCTCTTCATCTCCCCCAACACCACCTTACAACACTACCCCTACCCGCTCCCCTCATTTTCTTGCTTCTTCCTCATCTCCAATTCGCCTGGCCATTCCATTGACAACCTCCTCCTGTGCTACACGAAACTCGACCGCTTCACCTTTTGGCGCCTCCCTTCCTTCTCTTTGCTGTCGACATGTTCCTATGATTCCCTCTTCACCATCCGACCACCTCGATCCGTTGCAATTGCAATCGAATGACCCTACCTACCTCCACTAGCTCCAGTCTCGCATATATCATATCCACCATAACGCAGGAACAATGGCGACGATTGCCCTTCCACCACCATTCGCCAACTATCGGTCCACCTCCACCATTGGCTCCATTACCACCACCATCACCATAGAGCAGCCGACCAGTCACCCGACGCCCGTCCCCAACAAACACATTCCCGTTTGCCCTCCAGGTCCAGCTCCGCAGGACGACGCTGATACGCCGCCGCCTTCGCCCTGGCCTTTGACGAATGGCGCCGATGAGCACTCGTCCCCCCGCTCGTTTCTCTACCCGCCTCATCGCTTCCACCATGTCGACTCCGGCCATCTCTCGCTCTACAAGATCGACGCCGCCGACGTAGCTGCTGCCTTGGACCATCTTTCGAGGCAACCCTTGCCAGACCCCGCCCACGTCTTCCCATGGTATCATGGCATCCACCCCCGGAACCAAGTGCAGCAGCACTTCTTTCTCAGCGCCCGCACGCGTGCGCTGAGAAAGACCCCTTCTTGCCTTCGTGGAATCACCCTTGTCAAGGCCGATGGCGACCTCAACTTCTCTCGCCTCAAGGGTGCAATTGCTCCTTACGAGTTCCTTCACTCAAGCAGCGCCGAGTTCATCGATGTCGACCCCGAAGAAGGCTTTTCCGTCCGTAACTTCCAGATCCAAGCCGCCAAGGCCGCCATGACGAGCGATATCATAGTCTACGGCGATAACGAAGCGGCCGTTCGCAAGTTGGGTTGGGACATAGCTTCGGCCCAGCAAAAGTGGCGCTACAAGCATGAGCTACAGTGTCATTGGGTTCCCCAGTACAACACCTTTATCTGCCTCAGTCCATTCGACGAGTTTGAACAGAACCATCGTGAGATTGTGGCAGTCGATTCGACAGGTAATCTGACGGGAAATGTTCTGGACTTTGTCAATCAAGAGAGACTTGAAATGTATCTCATGACCCAGGCTTCGGAAATTGCACCCAACGTGTGGATGGGTCCTACGCCCGATCCAATCATCGAAGAGGACAATGGCTATCATATTCAGCTCGAGTGCAGCGACATGGGAAGGGCCAACACCTGCGCAGCTTTTCTGCAAGCTCTTGCTGAGGACGGGCTGGGCGACGTACCAGAACCCGTCCACTTTGACTTTCCTTCTTCAGGAAGCTTCCTAGTTCCCAACTATTCCCATGCGGATGCAGACGCTCTTCTGGACACTTGCAAATGGCTTTGGCATCTTTCACATGGGACTAGGCCAGAGAAATCTTCTGATACTGGTAGAGACAGATCTTGGCCACCATTAAGCCCCCGAAAGATTCTCATTCACTGCGCAGATGGTTATACAGAATCCACAGTCTTGGCCATTGCATACTACAGCTATAGCACAGGCCTACCTATCCCAGAAGCCTGGTTGAAGCTGCACACAATTATGAAACGCAACTTTTTCGCATACCCCTCCGACGTGAACTTCCTAGCGACAATCGCTCCACGACTCCTACAAGAATCACCCATCGGAACCGACCGAAGCCTCGCGCAAGTTACGGAGCTCGTCAGAAATGAACCGAAGTGGTGGACAGGTTTCGACGGGTCACTACCCAGCAGGATCCTTGATTACATGTATCTCGGCAACCTTACCCACGCAAACAATCCAGATCTGCTTAGGGCCATGGGCATCGGCCAAATTCTGAGTGTGGGTGA